GAGAGACGGATGGGTGTCTTGGGCAGGGGGGTGGAGGGGAGCGCGCCAGGGAAGGCGGGAGGGAGCCAAGGGGCCTCTAGGAGAAGGCAGGGGGAGGGAAGGCGGGGCAGAGAGAGGAAATGAAAAGCCGGGGCGAGCGATCGGGGCTAGATGAGTTAGGGAGGGAGGAGGGAGGGACGTCGGGAGAAGCTGCCACTCGGAGCCGGACCCAGAGAGCAAGACCTGGGAGAAGGAGCGCAGGGGGACAGAGCGGCTGAGACAGTCGGCAGAGGTGCGGTGAGAGGGGCTGGGCAAGCAGAGGTGCAGAGGAGGGGATAGGTCGGGAGAGGCAGGGAGGGAGGGAGGGAGAGGTGAAGGGAGTGGACCAGGGAGGAGACTGAGCCAGAGCCGGAGCCGAGACAGAGGAGGAGAGAACGAGGGGCTTGGCAAGGGCTGGATTAGACGGAGAGACAGAGGTAGCGGAGGAAAGAAACAGGCGAGGGAGAGTCAGGGAGGGAGCCTGGGGAGACGGGGGCAGAGAGAGAAACAGACGCCCCAGAAGTGCGGAGGGTAGCCTGGGACTCCCCTCCGCCTCCAGCTGCACCGAGGACCGGGGGGAGCAGGGAGCGAGGTGCTGGGCATCACAGGGGTGGACCCGTCTCCCCCTCCCTTGCCACCTCCCACCCCCCACCTCCCCGGGGACCCCTCCAGCCCCGCTCCCCGGGAGGCAGCCGGAGGCCGGGGATGGCGGATTCGTGCCGGAACCTCACCTACGTGCGGGACTCGGTGGGCCCGGCCACCAGCACCATGATGTTCGTGGCGGGCGTGGTGGGCAACGGCCTGGCGCTGGGCATCTTGGGGGCGCGGCGGCGGTCGCGCCCCTCGGCCTTCGCTGTGCTGGTCACCGGGCTGGCGGTCACCGACCTGCTGGGCACGTGCTTCCTGAGCCCGGCCGTGTTCGTGGCCTACGCCCGCAACAGCTCACTGCTGGGCCTGGCCCGGGGCCGCCCAGCGCTGTGCGACGCCTTCGCCTTCGCCATGACCTTCTTCGGCCTGGCCTCCACGCTCATCCTCTTCGCCATGGCCGTGGAGCGCTGCCTGGCGCTCAGCCACCCCTACCTCTACGCCCAGCTGGACGGGCCCCGCCGCGCCCGCCTGGCGTTGCCGGCCATCTACGTCTTCTGCATGGTCTTCTGCTCGCTGCCCCTCCTGGGCCTGGGCCAACACCAGCAGTACTGCCCCGGCAGCTGGTGCTTCATCCGCATGCGCTCGGCCGAGCCGGGCGGCTGCGCCTTCTCGCTGGCCTATGCCAGCCTCGTGGCCCTGCTGGTGGCCGCCATCGTCTTCTGCAATGGCTCCGTCACCCTCAGCCTCTGCCGCATGTACCGCCAGCAGAGGCGCCACCAGGGCTCGCTGGTCCTCGGCCCCCGGGCGGGCGAGGACGAGGTTGACCATCTGATTCTGCTGGCCCTCATGACGGGCATCATGGCCGTGTGCTCCCTGCCTCTCACGGTGAGTCCCCTGGGCAGCTCCGGTGGGTGGTGGGGAGGAGGGCAGCGCCCAGTTCTAGCTGCCACTGTTTGCGCCCATTTCACGGATGGGGAAACTGAGGCTCAGAGAGGTCAGAGACTTTGTCCACAGTCAAACTCCAAACTTTACAGAGACGTTTCTCCCCGCTTGCTTCTGCTCCATTTGACTCCTCCTGACCCTTGTCTCCCCTCTTCCACATCCCTAGCCACCCCCTGCCAGTGCTACCCCCCACCAACCTACCCCTGTAAGACTAATAAGACCCATCATTCAATATTGCACTCTGTCTACCCTGTGCTCAGTGGTTTAGAAATCCCTTCTCCGATCATCTCAAGAATGATCTTACGCATCTATTCCACAAGCATTTAGCACGAAATGTGATGAAGTTTCTGTCGGCATTTCTACAAAGGAGGGGTGATGATGTCTTTTGCCCACAATCACACAGAGGCAGGGCTGCACACTGGGCTCCTCTGATGCCAGGGTCTGATCTCCTTGCCACCCCGCTCCCCATTTCTCCAGCCCTACCCATGTAGCTGCCCTTGGGCTCTCCTGGACTCACCCCTTCCCTGCAGGAACTCCTGCCCTGCCCCTCCCAGAGGGCAGCAGGGCTGATCCTGGTCCTGTGGCCCCCAGTCCTCCTGATACTGTCTGGACCTCAGCTTCTCTTTCTGCAAAATGCAGGGCTAGGGTTAGAGTTGAGAGTCACCAAACCTTTAAGGGGGTGACGGAGGACTCAGAGATGGCACGCACACACACACACACACACACACACACACACACACAGAACCGTGGGACCCAGCCTCGCTGCCCCACCTCTTCCCCTCTAGGGCTTTGCTGACTGTCTCCTGGGGCTTTCTCTCCCTCTGCCCCTGGATGCATTTCTTATTTAGCTCTCATCTTATTTCTTCCCCTTCCGACAGGCCACAGGCCGCGCCTCCCTCATTTCCGCCAGTGAGCAAGGGAGAGGAGGGGGTCCAGAGTGGGGTGGGTGTTGAGGGGTGGGGCAGAGGAATCCTAGGGTGCTTCTTGATCGCTTTCCACTTGCCCTCAGATCCGTGGCTTCACCCAGGCCATCGCCCCGGACAGCAGTGAGATGGGAGACCTCCTTGCCTTCCGTTTCAATGCCTTCAACCCCATTCTGGATCCCTGGGTCTTTATCCTCTTCCGCAAGTCCGTCTTCCAGCGGCTGAAGCTCTGGTTCTGTTGCCAGTACTCAAGGCCTGCCCAAGGCGACTCTCGGACGTCCCTCTCTCGGTCTGCCTCGGGGAGGAAGGACTCAAGCGCCCCCCCTGCTCTCGAGGGGAGAAAGGGGAACTGGGTGCCTTTGTCAGCCTGGGGCGAGGGGCAGGGGGCGCCCTTGCCAGCCGCACAGCCACCCACCAGCACCGTGGGAACACCCTCCAAACCGGGGTCCGAGGCAGCCTGCTCCCTCTGCTGACATTTGCCCGGTGATCTTCCGCCCTGTCTTCCGGCCGCAGCTGCCAGATATTCAGGGACATGACCGATGGCTGCGGGCGGATCAGCCTAGGGATGGTTCCTGGAGCCCTGCCGGCCGGAACATGGACCCTCTGGATTCAGGGGATGATCAGCTGCTATTTCTCTTTCCTCCGGGTGGCCACGAGGGGCTGCAGGAGGAGGGAGATGTGGAAAGGAATTATCCTGGAACATAAAAAGAACAGTTCTCTCAAAATATCCGGCGGCTTGGCTGGCCTGGTCTGGCCCTCACTTGCCCATCCATCTCACTGTCTAAATATTTAGAAGGCAGAAATGTTCCCAGCGGCTTCTGTGCGCTCAGGTCTGCTCTGGTTAGGGTTCTGCCTCTGATCTTCCTTCATTCAGGGTGCCCCTGATGCCCACCCCAAGGCCCCAGCGGACACCCCTGAGCCCGGCTCTGCGTTGGTGGGGGGAGTTCCCCAAGAGCCACCCTCTCTCTGCCTCATGAAAGCCTGGGGTTCCCTGACAAGTTCCCTGTCTCCCTTTCCTTCCGATTCCCCATTGGACTTGGGAGGCCTGGTCCACCCCCCTCCCCACCAGGGCAGAAGGGGTGACTGTTGCCTTGGGAGTGACACCACTGGACAGTTGCCTGAGAAAAACTGCATGGCTTGGTGAGTTGCAAGATGTGGATGGCGGGTGGCAGGAGAAGCTGGAGAATGATGGGGTGGGAGCTACAGAACCCAGGGATGGCCCAAGGACTCAGACCTAAGCCCTGTACCTATCCTTGGATAAATAGCTGCCCACCCCCCCCAACTGCCCCTGCAGAGCCTGACCTCACGCCCTGTGTCCTCAGAACCCTCGCAAAAATGTCATCCATCCATTCATTCATTCAACAAATAGTGAGCCCTGAATCTACCAGGTGCTGGGGACACAAACCAGTCTCAGCCCCACCTGGGACTCTTCTAGGGTAATTTCCAGCCTTCAATTCCCCTTCTGATAGCCGGGGCTTTTCCACCCAATCCACCCCTCTCTCCTCACAGCCATCCTCTGCCGAACTCAAGTGTTTTCCAGGAGTGAGCATGAAAGGAAGTGGTGCTTCGGGGTGGTGGGAGGAGGTGAATGGGAAAGCCCCCAGACTCTCCCCCGCCCTGATTCCACTTTCTCACTTGCTTCAGGGTTAAAGCAATCATTCTGCCTCTGGGAGGGGTGAGGGTGGGGGTGGGTGGTGGAATAGATGAGGCAAGAACTTCCTATAAAGACGGGCGGCTAAAGTGAGTCCTCCACCTCGTGAGTTGCACCCTCCTCACCCCAACCTGCTATTATTAGAGCCACTCTACATAGGCTGGAATAAAGGTCCAGAGAGGGCAATCACCAGCCCCAGGTCACACAGCGAGGAGAAAGAGCAGCCTGCAGGTGGAGCTGGTTTTTTTTTTTTTTTTTTTCTCCTTTGGCTGTGTTGTGCAGTTTGTGGGATCTTAGTTCCCCATTCAAATCCAGGGCTCTTTGCAGTGCAAGAGTGGAGTCCTAACCACTGGACCGCCAGGGAATTCCCTGGTTTACCTTTTTATCTCCTTAATCCAGATTGGGTTAGTGAGATTGCCTTGGTTTCCTTTAGAATGGTGATCGTAATCTAGTACTTAATTTACAGGGCTGGCTGAGGATTAAATGATTCAATTGAATCATTAAAAAGCAATTTAGCATAAGACCTGGAGTAAAGCCCACAATATGTGTTACTGTTACTGCTGCTATTGCCGTGGCTATTGGTATTTGTTGTCTTTGGCATCTGAGCACATGTGGCTTGAAAACAAAACTTTTCTCCATTGTTCTGACATTGTTCTACACCCACCCGCCCCCCAAACCCCAAGTCACTTTGTTTCATTTGAAGGAGTGGCTGTGAGAGTTAAAAATAGATCAAGATGACTGCTTAATGGGTAGGGGTTTCCTTTTGGGGGAGTGAAAACATCCCCACTAGAGAGTGATGGCGGTTGTACAATGTCGTCAACTACTAAATGTCACTGAATTGTACATTTTGAGATGGTTAAAATGGTACATTTTGTGTTATGGGTATTTTACCACAATTTGAAAAAAAAAAAAAAAAAGCATGTAATACTGGAAAAAAATTGAGGAAGTTTAGAAACTTTTTTAGCAGTCTTGCCAGAGTCATATTGTATCGCTTGAATTTAATAATAAACATGTTGACTTGTACCAAAACAAACCAGAAAACAGGTCAAGCAACATCAGACGAGAGGGTCTGGCCTTGGTTAACAAATCTGCCTCAACAGGAACCAACTCAAGGGACCTGGTGTGGAGGGGTTGTGTTTCAGGCAGCAGTTAAGGGTGCACCCCCCAGCCCCACCTGCTACCTGTCCAGCAAGATTCCCTGGGAAGTGGGGGGGTGCGCATCTCCTCTCTGGGCCGCCCCTGAAGGTGGGTCCATTCTGGCCCCTCAGAACTCGCTGAAAGTCAGCACAGGGCTGGGCTTTTCAACCCCCAGCACCCCAAGGTGGGTGCCACTATCAGTCCTCTTTTTCGGGTGTGGATTAAGGGAAGGAGAGGATTCAGTGTTGAAGCTGGTTTTCTGCTGACTTTTACCCGCCAGGTCTAGCATCTCAGGATTCCGCCCCCTCCTCTGCATCCCACTGTGGATGTCTAAACTGTCCGCCAAGGGCCCCAACTCCCGCCCCATCTGCCCTGATCTGGAAGCTCCTCTCCCCGCTGGTTCCTGGGGTAGCGTCTCGCTGTCAGCCACAGTCCTGTCTGGAGCTCCTGTCTGAGTGGCCCCTCCCCTGCCTGGAGGCCAAGGGCCAAACTCCCACGCTCTCTGCTTGGCCACAGCAGAAAATCATGGTTTCCCCAAAGAGCACAAGACCTTTCAGGCCTCCACTTCTTTACTCATTGGGCTCACCCTTCCTGTAAGAGGTTTCCCTTCTCCATTCATCAAAAGCACCCTTGCCTTTCAAGTTCCCGCTAAGGCTCCTCCTCACCCTTGAAGGCGTCATCGCTCCTCTCAGGTGCTCTAGGCACTTCCGGGGCTCCATGGTGGCCCTCATTGCAGACTGTAGCACAGACATCTGTTCATTCATTCAGCAGGCTTTGATTGAGGGCTTACTGTACGTCAGGTTTTATCCCTGTGATGTTGGGGACACAGTGATGACAGATGGCCTTGGCTCTGCTCTCCTGGAGCTCACGGTTCAGAGTGGGCAGGGCTGGGGGATTGGGACCAGGGAAGGTGGAATTTAGGGAGGAGATCAGGGAGGGCTGCATGGAGGAGGAGATGGCTGAGCCAGGATGGATCTGAGGACTGTAAGAAAGTGAACCAAATAAAGAGGAGGGCTTCTGTTGTGCTCAGGGTTCTGACTCTGATTTCTAATGCCTCCTTTCTTTCATCTCTCATTCATTCGTCAATTCAACATGCATTCCCTTGAGCCTGCTCTGGGCTCAAGGCAGCTGTGCTGTTAGGGAGATAGCAGGTGTCTGATGTTGCCTTGGGCTTACCTTGCTCACAATCCAGTGGGAGTGACAATTTCTCCCCCCTGCAGCATGTGGGATCTTAGTTCCCTGACCAGGGATCGAACCTGTACCCTGCGCCAGTGGAAGTGCGGAGTTCTAACCACTGGAGCTCTCAGGGGGTGATAGTTTAATAATCTCAGAAATATATATTACAATAAGCAGTAAAAACACAAACTTATAAGCTGTGAAATGTACTGAGAACAGAATACAAGGGAGGTGCCAGCTCTGGTCTGGGGTTGGAGTCAAGAAGTGAGAGACTAGGAACAAGTATGTCTCCTTCACGGAGACTTTATGCACTTTTAACTTCATTTCTTTATTCATTTCTGATTTTGGAGCACAGATGGGACTTAAGCATGCACGCCCATATACGCCCTCGCGGGTTCTCGGGAGTTGCCGCTCTTTGGTCCCTCTGTAGTCACTGCCCCACCTGCTGGCCACAGTGGGAATGACACTGAGACGAGGTCCCACAGCCACTCCCTCTTGCAAGTGCGGGGAGCCTGGGTTTCTCTCCTGTGGGCCCCGGGTGGGCATGTGTCCCACCATGTGGCCCCCTGCCTAGTCACTTTCTCAGTGACAGGCTTTGAGCTGGCCCAGCAGATCCATGAGCCTGAGTTGGAAATGACTTCCACGACCAGCATCAGCTGATGCGTGCTCCTCCACGTTTCCCCTGTCCATTAGCAGTGCAGAGTGCCATCTCTGTGCCTGTGGTTAATAAAGAAAGAATGGGAAGGGGAAGTCATGCCTTTTTAATAATGCAGGTTGTATGGGAGTAAAAGTCTTTCAAAAACTAGGGCCCAAGGGGGGAAATAATCGACAGGCAGTAGAGAAGTGCAGGCAACGCACTGGGGTGGTTAAAAGTGTGGGTGTTTGGGATGTGAATAACCTGGGGTTCAAGTCCCAGTGCAGCCACTTCCAAGAAGAATGCTGTGAGAGGCTTTACTTCCCAGGCCTCCATTCCTTTCCTGTAAGCTCTTGGATACGCCACGTGAAATGCCAGTTTCCTGACCAGGGATCCAACCTGGGTGCGCCCCTCCCCACCTCCTCCCCACCCCCGCAGTGGAGGCTCAGAGTCTCAACCACTGGACTGCCAGGGACGTCCCTCCTGTCAGCTCTTGATAACTTATGCTCATATGCCCACTGGGGAGGATACATGTCATAAATGGGAAAAAAAAAATGGGAAAAAAATTTTATTAGGACTCAACCTGGCCTTGGTGAGACATAAATGAGATGATGTCTAGAAAGTGGCACACCCCTCTGAGGTGGATGTTTTATGTTCCTCCTTTGAGAGATGACTGTTTCCCATTTTGCAGATGGGTAAACTGAGGCTCAGAGAAGTGAAGTCACTGCTCCAAGGTTATGAAGCAGGCAGTGTCAGAGCTAAGACCTGAGGCTTAGTGAGTATAGGCACTAAAGTGAGTGGTCACACTGTGTTGCAGCCCAATTCTGTGAGTCACCAAGACCTGTCTTCTTCTAAACTGTAAGACCAGTTTTCCACAGGTATTCTGGTTGCTAAGAAGGCAGCTCTCATCCCAGATTCCACTGTTTTGACCCCAGCCTCAGCCTAGCCTTCCCCTTATCTTTGGCCTGTTAGTCACTCAGTCATGTCTGACTCTTTGCCACCCCATGGACTGTAGCCCACCCAGCTCCTCTGTCCATGGAATTCTCCAGGCAAGAATATTGGAGTGGGTTGCCACTTCCTTCTCCAGGGGATCTTCCTGACCCAGGGATCGAACCTGAGTCTCCTGCATTGAAAACAGTCTTTACCATTTGAGCCACCAGGGGAAGCCCTCTGGACTACCTGAAGTCAGTTTTAAAAGAGATGTAGTATGTTTGGCTTGCTGGGTCTTTGTTGCCACGTGTGGGCTTCCTCTCGTTGCTGAGATTGGAGGCTACTCTCTGGGTGCAGTGCTTGGGGTTCTCAATGCAGTGGCTTTTTTTTGTGGAGCACGGGCTCCAGAGTGTCAGTAGTTGTGGTGCATGAGCTTAGTTACCCTGGGTGCATGTGGGATCTTCCCCGATCAGGATCCAACATTGGCAGACAAACTCTTAACCACTGGACTACCAGGGAAGCCACCACCACCCCCCCGCCCCCCCTTTTTTTTTAAATGAACATTTACTCTGAAGCCACAGGAAAGCCCCCGAGTTTGGGCCTCAACGAGCCTTCTCCATCCTCCCAAGGCCAGGCGAAGGTGAATAGGCGGCTTTTTACTCCACTGAGCTGTTTCTGCTTACCTCCTGCCTGGTCCCTGTGGTCAAAGAGACAGCTGCTCAGATGTTAGACTGTGTCTACTGACCGTGCACTCCCACCCCTGAGAGGGAATCAGATGGGTTTTGTAGCTGGGGACTGGGCCTCCCCACATAATTTTTTTTGATATGGACAATTTTAAATCTTTGACTTTGTTATAATATTACTTTTTATTTATCAAAGGATAATTGCTTTACAGAATTTTGTTTTCTCAGACCTCAACATGAGCTTGTTTTTGTTGTTTTGGTTTTTTGGCACAATGTGGGATCTTAGCTCTCCTAGAATTGGAAGGCAAGGTTTAACCACTGGACAGCCAGGGAAGTCCCAGGCTTTCTTTTCCATAGCTGCGCTTACCTTGGGGAAGTTGAGGGGCTTTCTAGGGTTTATAGTAGTTGTTCTGAGCTTTAGTCCTTTGTCTTTTGGGACTGACTGAAGCTGTGAGCTCAGGAACACCTCTTTTCTCCCCACTGTGTTCAGTTCAAACTCAGCACTTAGCCTGCCAATGGGCACTGGTCACCTCTTGGCCAGAGGGCCCTGTCAAGAATCCCCCACCTGGCCTGGGCCCCCAGTCGGACCCAGCCTTCCTCCTCCTGCACAGCAGGTGACCATCCATCCACCTTTCAGCTTGTCACTGGTTTGCCCCCAAACCGGGTCGTTGCTGCGATGCGATGGACACGCCTCCGCCTTCTCGGGCCTCACCGTGCGGTCCTGTGTGTGGCTGACAAGTGGCCCTACTAAGGCGGGGTTGGTCCTACACACACGTGCAGGCGCCGAGCACTTAAAGCTGACAGGAGGGGACTCCCCTTGTGGCTAAGCCTCCACACTCCCAGTGTGAGGGGCCCAGGTTTGGTCCTTGGCCAGGGAACCAGATCCCACAGCAGACAGACTCTTTTGGGGCAGGGTTTCAGGCCTGTGCAGGGAGCAGGCCCAGAAACCAAGACAAGAAGGGAGGAGCAGTCAGGTAGTCACTGTATTTTATTGGAAAACATTGATATATATTTTTCTTCACAGCTTGAACACAAATATTGCCCGGTTTGGAAAAAAAAAGAAAAATCAAAACACTCCGAAAACGTCCACAGCTTCACGCCTACCTGCCCTTACCCTCAGCTCTTGGCTGGGTCTCCCGCTATGCCCCCCCCTTCCCTGGAGGCTGGGTGCCACAGGGTTGACGAGAAGATTCTCAAAGCTGGGCAGGTCCCAGGAAAAGCCACTTGATCGACCTGAGGGGTGGGGTGGGGTGGGGGTGGGGGCAGATGAAATGAACGGAAAAAGGAAAAAAAGAAAAAAAAAAAATCCAGACGACCGAACTGCCCATGTTGACTTACTTGTCCCAGAGGCGAAAGTCAGAAGCCAGGTTGCGGATCATGCTCTCCGCTGGGGAGTGTGGGGGCAGGCAGGTGGGCGCACAGACAGCACAGATGGAGCTGGGGAGCCGGCCTAGCCACCATGGGGAAGCGGGAGGGGCCGGCGGGCCAACAGGACTGTTTTATTGCAGGTATGTTCTCTTGAGCGTGTGGTGGGGCACATCCTCCCAATCCCCGCCCCTCAGCTAGCCCGGCATGGTTTCAGACAAAATTAAAGTTTTTCAAACAAAATTAAGAGTTTTAAGGGGTATAAAGAAAAAATGGAAGGATGAGTCGCATGTGACAAAGCGGCCAACCCCACGTGCGTTCCCACGAGGGGACTGGGATGCGGGATGGGTGGGGGCGTCACGAGGGAGCAGCGTGGGATGTTAGCACCAGGACAGCTTGAGATCGCTTCGGGAACATGGGATGGGGGGCAATGTTCAGGGGCACCAGGGGAGTGGTCCCCACCCACCCCACCTCAGGGAGCCAGTCAAATGGCTTCAGAAGAGCAGCCAATGGGATCTGAGTGCTGCCCAGCCTGGCCAGCCTCCTCACGTGCTAAGAGCATGCCAGCTGCCAAGCCTCCCTCGCCCCCTGGCCTCCTCCTGGGCCACATCCAGGCAACACCGCAGCTCCGGGCCCTCCCCACCACCCTCAGTCCTTCTGGAACGCCCCGCTGGGCACTCCTGCCCCGACAGGCTCTGGGATGGGCACAGGGTATCACAGGCTGGTCGCATGCAACAGCAAAAGGTGTGCCTCTCGCGCCCGGCCCTCCTGAGGGCCTCGGCCCCTCCCCAGCAGGTCCCGGGACAGCGCCGGCGGCCACCCTGGCACCCCAAAGTAAGATGACGAATGAACAGAAACAAACCAAAACGGGCGCGAGCCACCGGGCTGGAGGAGGAGGGCAGAGGCCCCTGAGGGGACTGGGGGCTCATCTTATAAATGCGCCAGGCCTTGGAAGATGTGAGCGGAAGGCGGGGGGCCGGAGGGAGAGATGGCGGGGGCCTGGAAGGAGACTCGGGAGGAAGAGAAAGAGCAATCATGCAGCTTGGGACGAATCTTTTGTTGCTTTATCAGATTCTCAGTCCATCAACTGGTGTTTGCTAAAACCGGGATAGGCAGGGAGTGTTGAAGAGAGTGCGCGCGCGGGGGAGAGAGAGATCGAGAGAACGGGCATCACCAGCTGCCCGGGGGCCTTCACTTTGCAGTCATCATCTGTACAAACTCTGTGAAGGGAAAGACAGGGAGGTCAGCAGAGAGCGGGGTTCCCCCAGCTCCCGCGGGCATGGAGACAGGGCTGGCAGCTCACCTTCATAATTGACCTGGCCGTCCCCGTCGATGTCGGCCTCCCTGATCATCTCGTCCACCTCCTCGTCGGTCAGCTTCTCGCCCAGGTTCGTCATGACATGGCGCAGCTCTGCAGCGCTGATATACCCATTGCCGTCCTGCATGTTGGGGGAACAGACAAAGGCGCTGAGCGTGAGGCGTTCATCTGCCCGGTGTTTTCTTGGGGGTCAGTGGGAAAGACCCCAGCACATGCCGTCCTGGGTGTCAGGGGACAAAGGCTCCAAGCTTGAGGTGTCCGTTCGCCTGGCTCTTTCCTGGGGGGCAGCGGAAGAGAGACCCCAGTGCAGGGCCTGTCAGTCACCTCCCTTGGCATAGGCAGGGGCTTCCTGCGGTGGCAGAGCAAGCTGGCAGTGGGGCTGGAACTGGAACCCTGGCCTCCGGAAGTGGTGACTCCAGTTAGGCTGGGTGTCCCGTGACCCCACCTGTCCTACTCTCTGCTGGAGTGCCAGCGCCCCTCGGGGAAAGGCCTGCTTACCTTGTCAAACACACGGAAGGCCTCTCGGATCTCCTCCTCGCTGTCCGTGTCCTTCATCTTTCTGGCCATCATGGTCAGGAACTCGGGGAAGTCAATGGTCCCATTCCCTGTGAGGTGGGGGAGGGAGGGAGATGCTCTGGGCCTGAGCCCGGGGAGATATCCCCAGAGCCCTGGCGGAGGAGACGCTGGTCGTCCCCCGGGAGGCGGCTGCCCTCCCGCCCTGGGTGCGGGCTCACCATCTGCATCCACCTCGTTGATCATGTCCTGCAGCTCGGCCTCAGTGGGGTTCTGTCCCAGGGACCTCATCACCGTCCCCAGCTCCTTGGTGGTGATGGTGCCGTCCCCGTCCTTGTCGAAGAGGGAGAAGGCCTCCTTGAACTCTGCAGCGAGGAGCACAACGAACCAGAGGTGAGGGCACGGGAAGGCCTAGTCAGGCCCGCCTCAAGAAGCCAGAAGGGGATCCGATGCCAGCCCAAGCCTCTCGCCTCTGTACTGGGCACAGGCCGCTTCCTTCTTCCCTTCACCCCTCACGGAGCACCTGCTCGGTGACAGGGAAAGATGCCTGCTCCGCCCGGCTCACTGGGAACACGGGGGGAAAACGGGCTGACGGTTGCCTTAGATCCTCTACATTTCTTTTTGGTCCCTGGCTTCAGGCTCTCCCTCGAGTGATGAAACAGACCAGTGTCCTGGAAGGGAGGAGAGCCAAGGAAGTCTCCGTCTGAAGTGTGCCAGCCAAGGTCAGCGGGCCAGGAGAGGAAGGGCAGGAGGGACTGCAAGACAGCTCTGGGTGCCACGGCATCCCGCCCGACAGGGACTACCAGCCCGGCTCAGTGCGTGGGTCGGAGTGTGGGGGCGGCCGGCAGCAGGGCGCGGCTGATGGACTGTGTGGGGTAGGCGGGGTGGGGGGTGTGGAAGGCGAGGGGACGGCTGCCAAGCCAGGAGGCCGAGGAGCTGGGGGTGCCGAGTGGGAAGGCCACAGCTGGGGCCGCATCAGGAGCGGGAGGAGAAGCACATGGCTCCTGCCCTCCCACTGGGCCCATTTTGGCACCTGGTGCTCCCTGCCCCCAAACCCTAGGGGAACAGATGCCTGGCAGCCTATTCCCAGAGGGTGTGGGCTGGGGTGAGGCGGCGGACAGTTTGCTAATGGGGACGGGGGGTGGGGGCAATGTGGAGCGTGTGCTGGTGTCAAGCGAGGGCAGAGCTGGGGCTGTGGGTGGCCGGTACGGGAGCCACACGTACAGCCGAGAGGCTTTGCCCGGGACCGAGCCTCTGGGCCCTGGAGACTTCGAGTCTCCTGGGGGATGCTGGTGCCTCCCTGTGCCAAGGCCTTGTTGCTCTCAGGGGTCACGCGGGCACCCTGCGCTCAGGATCACTGAACAAGGCAGTTCTCTGCTTTTCCTTGGTGGGTCTCCAAAGTTCAGAAGCTGAAGATGTGGGGGAAGGAGGAGAAGAGGGAAGTAAAGAAGAAAAGGCAAGCCCACGCCCGTCTCCCCCACTTCAGAAGCTGGGCTCTCTGCACGTGTCACATGCAGCCTGTGGGCCCTGACAGCAAAGCCGGCTCCAGGGGGTACTTCGTGCTGGCCCATGGCTGTGGGACGCAACTGGGAGCTGGTCTCTGTCCTTTGTAGTAGCTCACAGTCTGGAGGGCGGGGGCGGGGGGACAGGACATGGAAACCTTCTCAGCACACAGTACTTCCTGTAGCTGTGGTCACAGGGCTTTAGGGGAGCCTACAGAATGAATTACATAGGACTCAAGGACTTCTTTAAGCTTACTGGAAGATATGTGATTGTTCCCTTGTTCATTTAGTTATTTAGCCAATAAAAATGTACGCAGCAACCATTATGTTGCAGGCACCAAAGGTACAGCAGGGACCAACACACAAAAAAGCCCCCAGTATGGATCTCATCTAGTGACAGGGAGATGCAGTCGGCAGACATCAGAGATTAATTTCAGATGGTGAGAAAGGCTAGTAAGGAAACAGAGTGATGGAAGCCTGTTTATTTGAGATGGGGTCAGGGAAGGCCTTTCCAAGATGACATTTGAATCAAGACCAAAAAGAGGAGAAGGAGCTGCCTGGTGCAAAGAGCTGGGGGAAGACACATCCGGCCCAGGAAGAAGTGAGTGCAAGCATGCGCGAAGGGGAATGCAGAGGTGGGAGTGACAAGCCCTCCCCTGGGTGGCTCCTGAAGTGGGCCAGGAGCCCTGCAGGAGTTGACCTTCTGAGCCTAACTGGCAGGAACCAGGACAGACGGCTGGGCTCACCCTGCAGCCACCAATTAAAAGGCCTGGTGACCCCTGGCCAGGAGAGGAACACGGCCCTGCCACCTGAGGAGGGCCTGGCTCAGGACTGTGGGGTCTGGTGTCACTGGTGCGCTCTCATACACGTGAGTTTCTCTGTCAGATGCTCCTCCTGGCTGGAGTAAGACTTGGCTGGGGATGCAGAGGCATTCGTGCGGCAGGGTGAGGGGAGGAAAGGGGGATGGGGGAGAGAAGGAGGGAAGCAAGCTCACCTGCGATCTGCTCCTCGGTCAGCTGGTCAGCCTGGAAAAGCAGGAAGGAGAAAGTTAGTCATAGGCTGGCACATCTTTCCTTGCTCAGCCCAGCCCCCGCTGGTGCGGCCAGCTCCACATGGCAGTCCATGTACCTGGGCAAGGGCAGTCATGCCAGAGCCAGTACTGGATCAAGTCTGGTGATTCAGGAGGCTGGAGACCCAGGCCAGCCTGACCCAGGGCCCTGGAGCCAGCCCCAGCTCAGCTGCACCTGCACCGGTTCACGTCTCAGCGCCGTCACAGCCGCTGGGAGCCCCAGAGGCTGAGTGAAGGGAGCAGTTGCCCTGGAAGCCTAATCAAGCAGCTCTTCTAGAAGGCTCCAAACTGAAGCAGGCCAGGCCCAGGGTAGGCAGCCGGCTCTTTCCTAGTTTCTATGTCACCAATTTGGAAGCACCAGGTCCAAGCACTGCAGACCCAACTGGCAACAATTCTGCCAACTGGTGTCTGTGGAGTGCCTGAAAGAACCCTGGGCAGGAAGGGGGGCAGCCCCCACTCTCTTCGGCGAGGGGCACCATTCATTCCACTGCTCCTTTGGGGCAGGAAGGGTGAGTGTCAGGGAGGGGACTGCAGCAGGCATGGTGCTGGTGGCAGAGGCTGGAGGACTCAAGTCACCTCCCCCTGCTGCGCTGCAGTTTTTAACCCTTGCGGCCCTGGCCACTCTGGGGAATGGCCAGTCGGGGTCGGGCAGCCCCTGCTGCCTGCCTGCCGGGTTTGGGGGCGGGGCAGAGGAGAAGCAGAGGCCAGCCTGTCCTGAACCAGCCCAGCAGAGGGATCCTCTGGGGGAGGAGCCACGCGGGGATGAGGGAGCTGAATCCCAACGTTTAGCTTTAGGCAGTAAAACAGGAATTTTCCTTGGGGTCCCTGAGTGCTGCCAGAAGGTATGGCTCACCCTTAGACCACTGCCCCCTTCCTCATTTCCTCTTACAACTAGGGGAAGGGGCTCCACATCTACAGCAGGCTTCCAGCTCTGAGTCTGAGAGCCCCTCAAACTAAGGCATGCCACTGTGTGTACTAGCGTTATTCTACACAGAGATTCCAGAACTTCCTTGGGAATCCAGCAATAGCCCCACCCCCACCCTTCTGCCCCATCCCAAATGTGAAGACCAATCACTTCAGAACAAGTCTGACATGTCCTTTTGCTTTCTCTTAAATATAAAGGAAGAAGGACTCGAGGCTAAGCCCCAAAGAGATAGAACAGGAGGGGAAATCAGGGTGATGATTACAGAAGGGAAATGGCTAAGGGTGGGGGAAGCAGGAATGTAGAGAAGGAAATACAGCACACAGGCACATTCTGGAAAAGTCCAAAGTCTAAAGGGAAGGTTAGGAGGCCAAAAGGAGATACTTCTGCCCCGCTTTCAAAAGAGACCCAGGGCTGCCAGGCTCCTGCATGGCAGCCTGGCAGCCCCAGGCCCACGAGCCCTTTGCTCCTCTGCTTCCCTTGGCTTCTATGGGCAAAGAAGCTGAGCCGATCGCCTAGGTCCTGACACCCGAGGAAGCTGCTGGGGGAAAGTGAGAAGACAGGATGGGCTTCTGTTACCAAGGCCAGGCAGTGCCAGGGGTGGGGAGGAGGGCCGGGGGGAGGGCTGCCTTCCCCCAGCTCTCATCCATTCCCCTGGCCTACGTGGTAAGGGCTAGCCCAACCAGGGCCCTTCGAACCCCTGCCACACCATTTTGGGCAGCACCCGCAGGGGCTTGGGGCAAGGAGGCTGGGGCAGGTTGCAGAATGCCCGAGTGGTGCTGAAGGCTGGTTGTCCACCGCTCCCTGCCGCCAAGCTGCAACGCGCAGAGGAGGCACTGCCACTGTTCCAGGCTTGCTGCAAATAGGCGTGGCTCTGCCTGTAGGGCCGTCACACTCCCTTCCTCCCTCTTAGGAAGACCCTCTCCCCTGCGTGGGGAAGGAAAAGGGCCCAGCTCCCAGCTAGAGATCTCAAAGCAAGGCTGCTGCCCAAAAAACTGATCACTGCTGGGGATCCCTTCCTTAACAGGGCTTTTTCCCTTTCCAGATCTGCAGATTTTCAGCTTTCACCAAAAACTATCTGCAAAATAACCCAGCTGGTCCCCTGCTTCCCCATCCCTTCAGGCTCCAGCAAGAGGCTGGACAAGGAAAAAAAAAATCCTGGGGTGGGGGAGGGAAGAGGGTATTATTTCTCTGCCTTGCCCCAGCCCCCAGCCAGTGCCAGAGAGCAGTGTTAGATGAGATCAGAAACCAAGGCCAGGGCCCCTCACCCGGGCCAAGGAGGAGCCACAGGGCTCAGGCCAAAGTCCAAAACCAGTTAACAGTGACTTGTTCCACCCATACCTTGCTGATTACAAAGGGAAAGAGAAACTAGTGGGGCCAAAGCTCAAGTCTTATTTGGCAGGTGGGGGCCTCCTGGCACCTGTCAGTGATTCGGTGCCCGTTTAGCAAGGCTCTGCTGGGGGAAAATGGGGTAGCGGCGAGAGGAGCCATCAGGCCTGTGTCAGCAAGTATGAGATCTGATACACAGCAGCGGCTGCCTGTTTTCCCCAGCCTTGCCAGGGAGGGTGGCTGCACACGGCTCCGAGGCTGAGCCTGGGGGGGCTGGGGGCTGTGGGTGGTGGGGACCGGGAAAGAACTAGTCTGCTGGTTTTCTCTCAAAGCCCGAGCTGTGGGAATTAACAGAAGCACTCAGGGAGGGCCCCGAACGGAACAAGTGGCCCTGGGGCTGATGAAGGGGTCCCTCTGGAGGTCCTCTCTGCAGCCCCCACCCCGAGGCCATAGGAACAGGCGTGCGATTGTCACCGACGCCACACTGTACTGCACTGTCATTTGGCACAAGTGAGGAGATGCAGAGCGGTGCGTGGAGCTGGAGACCAAGTAAACCCAGCATTCCTGTTTGGAAAAAAACAGCTCTCTGGGTCTGAAAGGGGCAGCAAGCAGGTGAGGTTCAGGGCTTTAAAAGCTGGCTCATTTGATGCATCCTAAACTTTGCTCCTCCCCACCCCCATTTCATGCGGCTTCAGTGCGCAATAGAGGCCCCACCAACTCCGCCCACCTGCTCCCACTGCCTGGTGCCTCCTGCCCAGCCCCATTCTTCCTGGGAAAGGGACCCTTGAGCCACTCCCTCTGGCTTCTGCAGCCCACTCCCCATCCAGACTGAACAGTCTTTGTCCCGGCTTTGCCCTGGAAACTTCCAGGGAGCTACCCACCACATCCACCTCCAACCCTAGGCCCACCTCTGCTGCCATTCATTTTCTTTAACATGTCCCCGGATCGCCTTCCATCTCACCTCCTACCACAGAAGCCAAAGTTCTCTCCCACCCCTCGCTTTGGAAACCCATCTCTTCATGAACCCAAACACAATGCCCCCTTTCCCCCCACCAAAAACCCCAATTTCCCTTCCTAGTTCAATAGTCTTAACCCAATAGGAACCTCAGAACCTTCTCTGGCTGCCCCTCACATCAACCAAGAGGCGCCCTGTCCCCCCACCACTGACAAGCTCACCATCCCTTTTTGACCCCTTCCCCGACCCCATCCCTTTCAGTCCCCGTAGGCTTCCAGGGCATCTTCTAACCTTGGCTGCCACCCACCCCAGGCTCTTCCTTCCAGAGCATGCACCTCACCCTCCTCCTCCTTCCTCTGCAATATCGGTCCTTGGAGAACCCCCTTTTCTCCCCTCAAGGGTCTGATCTGCAGAAGCGACCCTCCTCCCTGCCTCCCGGGAGGGCTCCCCCTCCACCCAGGCCCAGCTATCCACCACCCCCTCTCAGGGAGTTCCCCAGCAGCCCGGCGTCCCTCCGATCCCCCTTCCCTGCTACCTATTAGGACCCAAAATCCTTTATCAGGGCACAAGTCACCTCCTTCCCTAGCCAATGACTCTTACCTCGCTCCCCTGGAATCCAAACACCCCACCTTAGCGACCAAACGCCCCATCCTGGGTCCAAGAGTCCAGATGCTCCATCCTCGACTCAAATGCCCCCTTGGAGGGCTCAAGTGCCCTTTCTGGGGTCTAGACACCCCATCTGGTGCTAACTGTCGCTTCTGGAAGCCCCCAACTCCCTTTGGGGATCCAAACGCCCTCCTGTGGGTTCAAATGCCCCCGATCGAGAGGCAGAGAAGGGTCCAGAGGCACTCTCCGGGGCCCAAACGCTCCTCCCCCTCCATTCTGAGTCCACTCGTGCCCTCGGGGGTCCTGCTCTGCCGCGTCCGCCTCAGTGTCCACAGCCTCGGCGGCTCTCAGTCTCACTCACCATGGCGAGGGCCGGGTATCCGGAGCGCGGGTATCAAGGGTCCTCCGGCGGCGGCAGCAGCTGCAGCAGCTCGAGCTCCGCCGCGCGTCTGCGCCTCCACACTCACTGCCTGCAGCGCGCGCCGCCGCCGCCGCCGCCCGCCCCAACGGTCCCTCAACGGCCGCCGCGCGCGCCCCGCCTCGCCTGGCCCCGCCCCGCCCGGTCCGCGCGCCGCCGCACTGCGGCTCCCATGGATCCCTCCGCGCCTCTCTCAGGACTGTCGGGCCCGCGGCTCTCTCACTCCTCACAGGGTTGGGTTTATGGCCGGCCGCGCGCGCGCGCGCACCCGCTGCGGGACTATTTTCCGTCGCCATGCGCCCCGCCCCCTGTGCCCACTCTACTTTCCTCCTCGGCGGAGGGGCACCGCTCGGCTGGCGCGTGACGCGTCCCTGTGTGAGACGCGCCGCTATTGGGTCCGGGCCACGGCGGAAATAAGAACGCGGTGCCGATTGGTCCGGCCTTCCCTGCAATGCGTCAAACTGGGGCGAGCCACTGCGTGGTGGCGGTGGGCAGCCTGAAGTGTGTGACTGTGTGGAGCCATGAGGCGTAATGAGGCGAAGGGGGAAATTGTATGACTGCTATAGAAGCCAATACATCGTCTTCGTAGTCAGGGAATGGTAAAATGGGTGGCGGAAGGTACAGAAGTACTTTCTTGGTTCTCCCCTCTGACAAATGGAAGATGGTGCAATCCAAAATGCTGGTCGGAAGCCCCGCCCCCAATTGGGCCCTCGGGGTGGCGGGGTCTTCAAGGTTCAGCCTTTAGCCTGAAAGTTCTACTCTTCGCCCGTAGGGGCAGGTGTCTGCACCGTGAGACACACTCCACAGGTGTGCGAAGCCCCTCTCCTGGCTTCACTTCACTTTTAATCGGTTCAGGGTCTGTGAAACGGGCCGTTCCAGGACAGCCCTGGGAACAAGGTATTCAGTCATTCATTCAATAAGCCTCAGTGGGGTGCCTGCCTTAATTCAGGGATCTGTGCTTGACTGGGCGGGGGAGACCAAACTTCCCAGCCATTGTCCTGCTGTCTTGTAGACCACCTGAGTCTTGCACTCCTTGTTCTAAGTTTCCAACCACAGAAGGAAGAAGAGTGGGAAAGTTAGCTGAGACTATTTACGGGCGCTCAGAAACGGCAACCCCCCCCCGCCCCCCAATTTCTCTTGTTTTGAATTAGGGCTATATTTGCGTCTGTGCTCTACCCCCTCTCGGTGATTGGCTGACGAGTGGCAAGTGAGTCAAGCTGGACCAGTCTTTATGTTACACCTGGAACAGCATGTAGGCTGAGCCAATGAGAGGCCTTCCCTGGGTTTTTGGATCTAGTCTTTTGGGGGCAGGAAGTCTTTTCCTTTTGTGTGGTGAGGCTGTGAAGAAATAGGTCTGGACCTATCTATGACATTTTTCACACTCTGAGGAAAGAATAAAACTGATTCCAGGAAGAAGCAATGAAGAGGTGGAGTGAGAGAGTCCTGTTGCCATTCCCTTCACGGATTCCAGCTTGAGGCCAGCTGCCTCATGCCAGGATTTTGATGATATGAGCTATTAAAATGTCCCATTTATCCCAAGCTGGTTTGAGTTGAGTTTCTGTCACTTAAAACTAAAGAATTTGTGATGGATGTGACCCAGACTAAACTCTGTCTTGGTCATCAGCATTGGCCCTGAAACAGAGAGGGCCAAGGACCCAGTCATCATTTGCTGAACAAATAAGCAAAGGAAGTCACACTCATGCTCTCTCTCCCTGTTTCTCCTCTCCCTGTCTCTGAGTCTCAATTTCTACCAGGAAGACCTTACCTTCTGAATTACTTAGGTGGGCTTCCCTGATGGCTCAGAGGTTGAAGTGTCTGCCTGGAATGTGGGAGACCTCTGTTTGATCCCTGAGTTGGGAAGATCCCCTGGAGAAAGAAATGGCAACCCACTCTAGTACTCTTGCTTGGAAAATCCCATGGAGGGAGGAGCCTGGTAGGCTACAGTCCATGGGGTTGCAAAGAGTTGGACATGACTGAGCGACTTCACTTTCTTTCTTTCTTTCACTATGAAATGATAGATATACTACTATCAGCACGTTTGAACACATACTGTGTTCCAGGCACCATTTCACCTGCTGTTATTTCATTTAATTCTTACAACCTCCCTATGAATTTGTTACTTTCACTTTCCACCGTTTGAAACTTTTATTGCCACTGGAATTAGATGAGATCTGAGAGGTATAAAGCATTGACCAGGAACAGAGAAGGGAAGTAGCTTGCCTTTGGTCACACAGTAGGAGGCAGAGTCAGGATTTTAACCCCAGCAGTTTGACTGAAAACCTCACACTCTTAACCACATTATACGACCAGTGAGAGAGACCTTACTTCTTTTCCATTATCCATTTTCCCTGTTTCCCAGCCTAATAGAATTTTAGTTGGGCACATTGCCATCCTAAGTAAAAACAACATTTCCTAACCTTCCTTGCAGTTATGAGCCCTCATCTGACAGAATTCTGGTCCAAAAGGATGTGAGCAGAAGAGATACATGAAACTTCTGGGTATACCCTTAAAGGGAGAGGACATACCTTCCCTTTTCTTCTTGCCTGCTGGTAGGGTGGCATGAGACCAACGGTGACCATTCTCACCTGGGACTTTGATGATTTTCCTGAGAGCCCACCTTTCCTTCCCCAGGGCCAAACTTTTATTTGAGAGGGAAATAAACTTCTATATCACTTAAGCCACCGGTATTTTGGATCACTTGTTTATAACATATACATGTCCTCTCTTTGGTTACTGCCCTTGTTTTGGTGGTAGCCGACTCTTGTGCCTAATTTAGTGAGAGGTCACGTGGTTCAGGTGTTAACCAATCAGCATGTCCTACTTCCATACCTCTGACTGCTTCAGAGCCAATTGTATGACTTTTTCTCTCTTTTTTGTATTTTTTGTATGTGTGATATAATTTACACTCAGTAAAATGCCACAGATCTTAAGTGTTCAGTTGAATTGTGTACACCCATGTAACCACCACCCAGGACAAGTTATAGAACACTTCCCTCACCCCAGAAGTTAGATCCCTGTGGCTCTTTCCAGTCGATTCCTGTTCCCCTCAAGCAACTGTTGTTCTGGCTTCTGTCACTGGAGATGAGTTCTGCCTGTTCTAGAATTTTGTAGAAATGGAATCCATATAGCATGCATTTTTCTGGTCTTGGCTTATTTCACTCAACGTAATATTTTTAAGCAAAAGTTGCATGGAACATACTTATACTAAAATATATTTTTTGTTGATCTGGAACTCAAATTCAACTGGAGTCCTGAATTTCTAATTGCTAAATCTGATGATCCTAATCTCAAAGTGCTTTCTTTCCAGGACTGGGAAATGATTTTAAGTGACTGTATAGGGGACCACCTGGATTTCCAGGCTTTGGGGTGTCTTATGCTATAGCCCGGCAAGAATCTTGATGGCAGCTTCAAGTGTTCTGAACTTTAGGAAGGATCAGTCAACTAAAGCTCAACCCCATTATTGTCAGGGAAATTCAAATTAAAATCACAATAACACACCAGTTCACATCGACTGGACAATCACCGAGCCCAATAATATCTGTTGCTGGGCCCATACCAGCATCTGGTGACCTTGTTATTTCTCTGACCTCATCTCCCTACGCTCTCACCTTCATGCTCTCTCTTTCAGCCATATCAGCCTCTTTCCTTGAACACATGTGGCTGATTCCTGTGTATGACCCTCTGTATTATTTCCTCTCCTTCAAATACTCTCCCCACAATAGTCATGTGGTTTGTCTCCTCCTTAGCTTTGTTCAAGTGACACGTCCTCAGTGATGGCCTCCCTTGATCATCCCATTTAAAATTGTAACCCAACACTCCAAATTCCCTTTCCTTTGCCTTATTTTTTCACAGGCGTGACAATCTTCTCAAATAAGATATACTTTTCTTATTTATTCTTTTTACAGTTTGATTCTCCCACTGGAATACAAGCTCCATGAGGTCTGGTCTTCTTTTTTTTTTTTTAATTTTTGTTTATTTATTTATTTACTGTTGCCTGTGCTGGGTCTTCCTTGCTGCACAGGCTTTTGTCTAATTGCAGAGAGTGGAGGGCTACTGTCTGGTTGTGGTGCATGGGCTTCTCATTGCAGTGGTTCCTCTTGTTGTGAAGTACGGGCTCCAGAGTGCTGTGGGCTTCAGTAGTTGTCATGCCTGGTTTCATTAGTTGCAGCTCTCGAACTCTAGATCACAGAATCAGTAGTTGTGGTGCACAGGCTTAGTTACTCTGCAGCATGTGGGGTCTTCCTGGTTAAGGGATCAAACCTGTGTCTCCTGCATTGACAGGCAGATTCTTTACCACCGAACCACCAGGGAAGCTTGGGTCTGGTCTTTCTATTTTGTTTACTGTTGTATCTTCAGTACCAAAAGTAGAGCCAGAAATATAACAAGTGCTCAATAAATATTTTTTAAAATAACTAGATAAAAATGGGGAGGTGGAAATTCTCCTGCAGTGCTTCTGGGAGAATATATTGATACAGAGACTCTAGTGAGTGTCCCTGGGAGAACAGGCTAGGTTATAGTACAGTAACAACTGCAAAAACCTCAATTAACACAGTAAGTTTCTTTCTCACTCACATAAAATCCACCTAGGGTCTTAGTCTCTCCATGGGACAGCTGTCCTCCATGTGGTCACTCAGTGTCCCAGTCTCTTTTCTCTCTCCTGAAGTCCTCTTTGTTGCCACAGCAGGAGAAAGGAGACTAGAGAATGTCCCAGGGAGTTTTCATTGTCTTAGTCAAAGTGACATCTGTCACTTCAGCTCACATTTCATTGTCCAGAACCGGCCACATGGTCCCATGAAACCGCTGAGGGATAGAGAAGTGCATTTTCTTGTGTGCCTCCAAAGAAGAAATAGGAAACAGAACATGGTAACCATATCATGGTCTTGGTCATGGAGAGCTAATTGATCACCTCTATAGACAACTTGGACATGTACATTTGCTAAAAATCT